ACTCTCTCCTCCTCCTCCTCCTCCTCCTCGTCAAGCAATCACTCTCTCCTCCTCCTCCTCCTCCTCCTTTCCCCATCCTCCTTCACCAGCCGCTCCGCTGCTCCTCCTCCTACTCAACCAATCATTGTCCTCCTCCTCCTCCTCCTCCTCCTCCTCCTCTTGCAGCCTCTCTGTTCCTCCTCGTCATCTATCGTAGGTTTTATTTTCCCGCCCTGCATTTCGTGAATCGTTCTCGCTGTTGACGAATTTTGGGCTGGGAAGCAGATTGTGGGCATGAAGGAGAGTTCTAATCGGTGAACATGGACAAATTAAAGGTATTTTGGTTAGGAGAAAAAGGGGACTTAGTAGGGGAAGAGGAGGAGGAGAGGAGGAGGAGAAAGACGAGGAGGAAGAGGAGGAAGAGGAGGAAGCGGAGGAGGAAGAGGAGGAGGAAGAGCAGGATAACGGGCAAGCTATGATCCAAAGAAAAAGTATTCTGGTTGTGGGAAAAGAGGACTTAGTGGGGGACGAGAAGAGGAGGAAGAGGAGGGGAAGAGGAGGAGGAAGCGGAGGCGGAGAACTATAAAGAACGGAAAAGGAGGATAACGGACAAGCTATGATTGAAAAAAATGGTAATAAAGTATGGTTCATAAGCAAGGGGAGGAGCAGGAGGAGGAGGAGGAGGAAGAGAAGGAGAAAGACAGCGAGGAAGAAGGGAAAAAAGTTGAAGAGGAGACTTAGAGGATGAGACCAGGGCAAGGCAGAAGGACAATCCACAGGACGAATGAGTACAGTCCTTGTTCTTTTTTTTCTTTTTCTTTTTTTGACGCATCCCATGTGAGTGTGTGTACAAAGAAGAAGGAAAAAGACAGGTAAAGCATACAAGGGGGGAAAACAAGAAAACATGAAGAACAAAGGGAGAGACACACAGCCTATGTGGCTGCACGGTACACCCAACATAGCCTATGTGGCTGCACGGTACACCCACCAAAAAGGGAGAGATACATAGCCTATGTGGCTGCACGGTACACCCACGAACTGCTGATTACAGACCAGAGTTCGAATCCTGATGAGTCGGATCACTTCGACGACGATACCTCAAGGCCGTCGCCTTCAGAGAGAGAGAGAGAGAGAGAGAGAGAGAGAGAGAGAGAGAGAGAGAGAGAGAGAGAGAGAGAGAGAGAGAGAGAGAGAGAGAGAGAGAGA